GGAGGGTACTTCATTGATGCCACCACCATCGTGGAGTGCCTGCATTCCTGTGAGCTGGGTACAGGGGTGGGCAGGTACTCAGGTGGACAGCTTCTGTGGCCAGGCACTGCCCCAGAAGGTCCAACACATAGCCCCAGTCCCAGAGTGCAAACATTGCTATGTCTACATGGTTGGTCACAACAGTAAGGTGTGTGTGCACGTGCGTGCGCGTGTGCACGAGCGCATGTGTGTGTGTGTGTGTGTGTGTATATGTGCATGCCTAAATATTTGTCCCTGGGGCTGCATCTGAAATCTGTTCTCTCTTGAATGTCTGTGTCTGAGATTCCACCCCCTCAAGATTTGGGGTTCACTTGTGACCACTCTTTTTTTGGGTCTGGTTGCAAGAGGTCAATGACCCAAGGAGGTATCCTAACAGGGCCCATCCTCCCCCACAGATGGCTGTGCACAGTGTGCAAAAAGCACATTACCCTATTGGTCCTTTGAATAGGCCTGAGCTGCCAGGACCTGGCAGAGGAATCCCTGACTCTTGAGTAGAGATATGGGGACTGGGCCTGAGCTAGGAAGGGGGTCTAACTCTCCTCTCTCCACACCCCAAGTCTGCAAAACTTGTATTGTGCGCTACCTGGAGACCAACAAATATTGCCCCATGTGTGACGTGCAGGTCCATAAAACCCGGCCACTGCTGAGTATCAGGTGGGTCCCTCACCGCCTCCTGCCTCTGCCTCTCCTCCTTCCCCTCCCCCTCCTCGCCCTCTCAGCCAGAACAGCAGGGTGGGAACCAGACCCTTCCTCTCCCTCTGGTGACATCTAGCATCTCACAGCGCGAGCAATACTAGAGGCGCGTTGACTGGACCTATGCCTGGGCGCTGGGTGTGTGGAAGGAGTGGGAAGAGGGTTGCTGAATGGGATAGGGTTGCTGACGCACCCTTGTGCATTCTTTCCTAGGTCTGACAAAACCCTTCAAGATATTGTGTACAAATTGGTCCCTGGGCTTTTTAAAGGTATTTGTGTACCCCACCTCCTCCCCCCCACTGCCCTCATTTCCAGCCTGTTCCTGTCTCACCACTTCCTCCTTCCAGATGAGATGAAACGGCGGCGGGATTTCTACGCAGCATACCCCCTGACAGAGGGTGAGTGTTCTCTAGCCAGGAGGCCTCCTCTCCCCCTCCCACCCCCCTACCCAGCCACTCCCCCGCTGGAAACTGCAGCTCAGAGGGTGGCTGGGCTCACCCTGATGGTCACATGACACCCTAGGTCTTTGGTGGGGCTCCTCATCTTCGGCCAACGCATCTGAGCTGTGTCCTTTTGCAGTCCCCAATGGCTCCAATGAGGATCGCGGGGAGGTCCTAGAGCAGGAGAAGGGGGCTCTGAGTGATGATGAGATTGTCAGCCTCTCCATCGAGTTCTATGAAGGAGTCAGGCAAGTCTGGCCCAGACATGCCTCCATCCCCTGGGAGCCCTCAGAACCTGTGTATTTGGGGATCCTGCCTGGTCCAAGGTATCTTAAGCTTCCTTCTCTCCTCCAGGGACCGGGAGGAGAAGAAGGGTCTGCTGGAGAATGGAGATGGGGACAAGGAAAAAGTGAGTGCTGGGACCTGCTTGGGAATGGGCTGTGGCTTGGGGCAGGACCTCTCACAAACGCCTTCCACCCCACCCCCCAGACAGGGGTGCGCTTCCTGCGATGCCCCGCAGCCATGACCGTCATGCATCTCGCCAAGTTCCTCCGCAACAAGATGGATGTGCCCAGCAAGTACAAGGTGGGTGCTGGGGCCTTCTCAGTGGGTGTGGATGTGGTGGTGGGAGGTGTGTGGTGATCAGCACCCCAACCATTGTTTGGGCTGGCTGGGTGTCCCCAAGGGCTGGCATGGTTGAATAACTGAGCATGGCTGAACCCACATCAGGGCAGGACCATTCGTTGAAGTCAGAGCTTGGGACAAGGGGATGTGTGTTGATACTTGTACTTGTTCACGAAGAACTGTGAAAGAGGCATGTGTGTGCAGAAATACAGGCCACCTGGCTATGGGAAGGCCAGAGGAGCTGGAGGACAACTGTGATATAGTCCCTGGTGAGCTTGTCAGAACACAGATTCTACTGCAGTCCATTCTGCATGTCTACCCAGCTCCTGGAGCTGCTGAGACTGAAGGTCCATTGGAAAGTCTGTTATACATGAAGTCAGGGTCTCTGGACTTTGGTGGGGAGGCCCTTCATGCAGCAGAGGTGACAGCTAGGGTCTAGGGGGTCCTCTCATCTTCCTCTAGGCAATCTGCAGAGAGAAGAGGGCTGGCACCCCTTCCTACTTGGTAGAGATCAGGACAACACTAGCCATCCATTGTGTAAGCCCAGAGTAATGAGGGGCCACCTGTAGTCCACTGTTTATATTGCCTCATCTGAGTTGCCAGCCTGGTGGCCTCTGCACCTGACCAGGTTCACAGTGTCTTCCCCCTTCCTCTAGGTGGAAGTCCTGTATGAGGATGAGCCCCTGAAGGAATACTACACACTCATGGACATCGCTTACATCTACCCCTGGCGGCGGGTGAGCTGGCGGGGTGGGGCGCTGTAAGGGTGAGGACAGGCAGGAAGGAGACCCCCACAGGGCCTGGTATTGGTCTGTGGCCATGAGATCACGTGGCACCTTGTGCCATCCCAGTCCGCCCCTGGGCTTGTCCAGGGTAGCCTGACAGCAGGTTAGCTTCTGAGCCATGTCTCGCTGACTTTGAGGAGAAAGGGCTCCCCTGGCCTGTCACTTGCTCAGATGTGGGATCAGATAGGGGTGGCTGCTTTCCTCATTTTGTCTCCTTCCTTCTCTGAGACTGTGTCCAGGTGTCTGACTTTTTTTGTTGGTTATGGGGCTTGAACTCAGTCTGAGCGCTGTCTCTGAGCCCTTCAGCTCAAGGCAAGTGCTCTACCACTTGAGCCACAGCACCACTTCTGATATTTTGGTGGTTAACTGGAGATAGGAGTCTTATAGACTTTGCTGCCCGGGCTGGCTTTGAACTGTGATCCTCAGATCTCAGCCTCCTGAGTAGCTAGGATTACAGGCGTGAGCCACCAGCGCCCGGCTTCTGGCTTCGTTTTTGTCTCCTGGCTCCACCAGCTCTCAGTGCTGTGGGGAAGGGTTGGGTGCCTTTAAGTTAGCCTTTCTCCTGACGAGCTCCCTCGTCTTGCCTCTCTCCTCTCAGAATGGTCCTCTCCCTCTCAAGTACCGTGTGCAACCAGCCTGCAAGCGGCTCACCCTGCCCACTGTGCCCACTCCTTCTGAGGGTACCAACACCAGTGGGGCATCAGAGTGTGAGTCAGCCAGCGACAAGGCTCCCAGCCCTGCCACCCTGCCGGCCACTTCCTCCTCCCTGCCCAGCCCTGCCACCCCCTCCCATGGATCTCCCAGCTCCCACTGCCCCCCAGCCACCCACCCTACCTCCCCTACTCCCGCTTCAGCAGCCAGTGGGGGCACCACAGCTGCCAACGGGGGCGCCTCAAACTGCCTGCAGACACCATCATCCACCAGCAGGGGGCGCAAGATGACTGTCAATGGAGCTCCGGTGGCCCCCTTAACTTGAGGAAAGGGACCCTTTCTTTTTGCAGCCACCTCCTCTTCCACTTCCTCCACTTTTTCTGGGCCCTTTTTTTCCACCTCTTCTACTTTCCCCAGCTCCTTCCATCTTAGGGATGGGAGGCGGGTTTTATAAATAAATCTATATATATATGTACATAGGAAAAACAAAATATACATACTTATTTTCTATGGACAAACCAGATTAATTTAAATGCCACAGGAATCAAACTGTGTGTGTATGTGTGTGTATGTATGTATGTGTGTGTGCGCATGTGCGCACATTGGGGAGGGGTGTTCATTTTTTAGGAGGTCTTGTATACTTTGCTCTGCTCTTTTTGGGGGTGCCTACAGTGGTCTCCAGGAGCCACTAGAGGCTCAGTAAATCCCTGCCCTATTCTCCCTCTGCTTCTCAAGGCAGATGGGGTGCTGGGGCTCCACAGCCCCCAAAGCTTTAGCATAGCTCTAGTCAGCTGGGTCTAGGACCCCTTCTGTTTATCTACCCATCTTGGCTGCTGTCCTGCTTAGTCCCTCCCATTGTTGAATGTCCAGAGAATTGCTAAGACAGTGCCTTTTACAAGTGCAGTTTGTCCCCTGGTTCTAAGGAGCAAGTGGCAAGGGAAAAGACAACTCCCTTGCTTCTTCATGCAGTGGAAACTTTGTGCAAAGAATAGATAGTTCTGTACTTTTCTTTCTTTCTTTTCTTTTCCTGTGTGGCCTTTGCTCATTTATCTTGTAGGAGAGAAGTTTCAGGCCACGGGGGCCCCAGCCCCTGAAAGTCCCTATGTAGCTTTGGCATTGTGGGTGCTTCACCCTTCCTGCCCATTCTGGTCCAGGATGGAGGGGAAGTCTCATTTGGGGCCTAAAGTAGAAGGGTGGGGTTCCCTCCAGACAAGCACAGACCCCAAGTTTTCCAAAAGACAACAGCCCTCCAGCCTTCCTCATCTCTAGCTGAGCCCAGGACAGAGATATCTAGAAGCACAAGAAAACAAAGTGCAAGCTCTGATCCTAACTACCCCCAAAGGGTCAGCAGACCACCCCTTAAGGTCAGATCCCTGCTGCCGTGGTTCTCCTCAAATGTACATGGACCAGAGGAGGCCAGACTCCACCTGTGTCAGGGGCTGGAGCCCCCGTGGTCTGTGCTTGCACCTCGTTCTGTGTCTGAGGTGCTGTGACTGTACCCTACCCCAGGACATTTGTATCTCTTGGCTTTGTAATAAATGCTGCATACTCACTGGTGCCTCGAGTTCTTTGGGGGTAGAGGGAAGGGGATAGGGTGGGTGGTCCCCTGACCTCACCAAGCCCATGGTCTCTGGGCACAGCCTGTCTTGGACACCCCACAGAATGGATCTGAACTGTCACCCCTGTAGCCCTCCAGATTCTCAGCCCAGGTCACAATTTTGAGCAGGAGACAGCTTGTATGCTTTGTCAGCAACCACAGGAACATGGCTCTGATGTGACAGGCCTTTATTGCCATCTTTCCACCAAGTGCCCACTCTTGGCTCCCCTGACTGGAGACCACAGGTCTGGACAAGCCAGCTGAGGACCCCAGAGGATCCCTTGGCCTTGTACTCTAATGTGCTTCCCCACCAAGGGCCTGCTTGTCCTGGGGGACAATCACCCTCAGACTGGGGAGCCCACTTCTGCTTTCTGAATCGGCTCACTTCTGTGGGTGCCATCACAGTATGGCGGCTTCTTGGTGGCTTTGCAGGTACAGAGGGCCACTGTGCGGGTCTCCTGGGCCTTGAACTTGAGTGGGAACAGGCCAGTGCGCTGGAAGAAGTGGGAGCCATCACAGAAAGGCTGGTGGAGGAGGAGAAAAGAGTCAAAGATCTGCCCTTCAGCAAGTCAAAGACTTGCTGGAGCGGGATCGGTCTGGGCATTAAGTGGTCTGGGCTCAGGCTCTGGTAAAAGGCCTGGGCATACTGCTCTGCCTCTGTAAAGTAGGGTAGTGAACCTGAGAGAATGAGGTAAACAGTGGTCATTGTGCATTTTCCCTATAGTGTGTATTGGGTTTTGCTTTCCAGTCAGGGCTTGAACTCAGGGCCTAGGCTTTTTTGCTCAAAGCTAGCTAGTGCTCCACTATTTGAGCCACAATTCCACTTCAGGCTTTTTTGGTGATTAACTGGAGATAAAGAGATTTATGGGGGCTGGGAAGGTGGCTCAGTGGTAGAGCGCTTGCCTTGCATGCATGAGGCCCTGGGTTCGATTCTTCAGCACCACATAAGCAAAAAGAAAAAAAGCCAGAAGTGGCACTGTGGCTCAAGTGGTAGAGCGCTAGCCTTGAGCTGAAGAGCTGAGGGACAGCGCCCAGGCCCAGAGTTCAGGCCCCATGACCAGACCCCCCCAAAAAAAAAACAAAAAAAAGTTTTATGGGGGGCTGGGAAGGTGGCTCAATGGTAGAGTGCTTGCCTTGTATACATGAGTACCTGGGTTCGATTCTTCAGCACCACATAAGCAGAAAAGGCTGGAAGTGGTCCTCTGACTCAAGTGGTAGAGTGCTAGCCTTGAGCTGAAGAGCTGAGGGACAGTGCCCAGGCCTAGAGTTCAGGCCCCGAGATCAGCAAAAAAAAGTCTTAGGGATTCTCTCCCCTCCTTCCCCCCACCCCCCAGCTGGCTTTGAACTACAATTCTCAGATCTCAGCCTCCTGAGTAGCTAGGATTTTTTTTTGTTTGTTTGTCGGTTGTGGGGCTTGAACTCTGGGCCTGGGCACTGTCCCTCAGCTCTTCAGCTCAAGGCAAGCGCTCTACCACTTGAGCTACAGCGCCACTTCCGGTTTTCTGGTGGTTTTGGAGATAGGAGTCTCACAGTCTCTCCTGCCCGGGCTGGCTTTGAACCGAAATCCTCAGATCTCAGCCTCCTGAGTAGCTAGGATTACAGGCGTGAGCCACCAGCGCCCAGCTCTGAGTAGCTAGGATTATAGGTGCAAGTCACTGGTACCTAGCTCCCTGAGCGTTTTTGCTCAAGGCCATAACTCCACTTCTGGCTGTATTAGGGCTTAATTGGAAATAAGAGTCTCATAGACTTCACTGCCCAGACTAGCTTCGAACTATCTAATCCTCAGATCTCAGCCTCCTGAGTAGCTGGGATTGCTACCAGTGCTCATTTGGTTTTGCCTTTTTTTTTTTGGTCAGTTGTGGGGCTTGAACTCAGGGCCTGGGCACTGTCCCTGAGCTCTTCTGCCCAAAGTTAGTGCTCTACCACTTTGAGCCACACCACCACTTCCAGTTTGCTGGTAGCTAATTGGAGGTAAGAGTCTCACGGACTTTCCTTCCCAGGGCTGGCTTTGAACCAGGATCCTCAGATCTCAGTCTCCTGAGTAGCTAGGATTACAGGCATGAGCCACCAGTGCCCAGCCTGGTTTAGCTGTTTTTGAGATAGGATTCATTCACTACGCTACTCAGACTGTGTAGCCTAGGCTAGATAGTCCACCTGCCTTAGCTTCCTCTGGGGCTGAGATTATAAGCATGCACTATATATCCAGGTCCAGGTATAATTTTTATTTTTTATCTAGGCAGGGCCTTCCATGACTGGAGCCACATCTCTAGCCTTTTTTGTTGTTGTTGTTTTGTTTTTAGTATTTTCAGACATAGTCTTAACTTTTTCCCAGGCTGGCCCTGGACCATAATCTTAAACTTGCCTCCCACCCAGCTGGATCAAAGGCAGTTTATTGTTGAGATAGGCTCTTGGGAATTTTTTTGTTTAGAATGGAATGAAAACCTTGATCTTCTCAATCTCCACCTCCCTTGTAGCTGGGATTACAGGTGTGAACCACAGCACTGGGCCAGGTTTTATTTTGTAATTGGCCAAATCTCCATTGGTTCATGAAAATAATTTCCTTCCCTGTGTTCCCCTCAAAAAAGTTCTCCAAGAGGGAAGGCATCTGTGGGTATCACCTTACACACTCATGGGGCTGTCCTTTCCAGCTTGGGGAAACAAAGCTTATTGTCAGGCACTGGAGACTCATGCCCGTACTAGTTACTCAGGAGAAAGAGATCTGAGGATCCTGGTTCAAAGCTAGCTCAGGCAGAAAAGTCTGTGAGACCCTTATCTCCAAGAAACCAGCAAAACACCAGAAACAGGGGAATGGTTCAATTACTAGAGTGTTAGTCTTGAACGAAAAAGCCCAAGCAAGAATGCAAGGTGGGCTGGGAATGTGGCTTAGTGGTAGAGTGCTTGCCTAGCATGCGTGAAGCCCTGGGTTTGATTCCTCAGTACTACATAAGCAAAAAAAAGCTGGAAGTGGAGCTATGGCTCACATGGTAGAGTGCTAGGCTTGAGCCAAAGAAGCTCAGGGACAGTGCTCAGGTCCTGAGTTCAAGCCGCAGGACTGGAAAAAATAGAAAGCAAAGTGCAAGGCTCTGAGTTTAAGTCCTAGCACATGCACACACAAACTGGGCCTATTACAGGCAGGAGGGGATGTCCTAAGATAACCCAGTTGACTGGCAGTGTATGCCCCATCCATCCCAGTAGTTCAAGTGGACTAGCGGAAGGAAATTGAGGCCAAAGGAGGAGAGAGGCCTGTAACTAAGGATCAGAGCTGGAGCCAAGGTCTCTTGACCTTAGGGGGGCAAGAGAAGATAGGGAGAGGAGTCAGGAGTAAAAGTCAGCAACCTGACCTAGAGAGTATGAAGCAGAGGCACAATCAGCTACCCACTCCTTCAGGCCACATTCCTCTGGCTGGTGTGCCTCTGGCATTGTGCCAACCTTGCGAAGAGCTGCTCAGAGCCCACAGCAGATTGGTGTCCAAGTGGGACTGGGAGCCACACCCATGTGGCTTGAAAGAACAGTGCTGAACTCTGCTCTGAAAGGAAAGGGTGAGGCGAAGAACCTGAGCCAGGTTCCTGCTGGAATGAAGGGCTCTGGGAAAGCAGGGAGAAGGGAGAGCCAGCATCACATTGCACAGGGGTGAGAAGACAGGAAAGTCACATCCACCGGAGAAGAGTCCTGCAAAGGGGCATGGGAAAGCTGGGTAGGATCTTCCCAGAATGGGGTCCAAGTCTTGGGAATCTCCACCAGGTGTTTCCTGGAAGGAGGAAGGCAGCTGAGGACAGCACAAAAGAAGCTCACTGTGGCTGAAACTACAACAGTGATATTCTCTCCGCCTCCTACTTCATTTCAAGGTGCTCCCATATACTTTATTTAGCTCAAGGCCAGTGCTTAGTGGCACTACCTGCAAGCTCTCCTTTTGACCCCATGCTGCCTCTACTGTCCCTCAGGTATGTGTAGAAAAAAGAGGGACACTGGGAGAGTTCTCAGAAAACGCCACCACGTTGTCCCCAACCAGCAGTGTCCATGGGAGGAATAGCAGGGCTCTCTCACCTGCTTCTTGCTGCGGCCACACACACACCACCTGTAGGTTTTCCCAGCCACCAACTCCACCTTGATGGGGATTTTCTGGGCCACCACAGGTTTTGCTGGAGTTTTAGGAAACCATCGGGCCTGTGGCAAGGGAAGATGAGGGGCTCAGGGTCAGCCCAAACCCTGCCTGTGACCTGCTCCAGTTTCTTGCTTGCCTAGTGCAATCGATAGACTTTTGGATGCTGATCAGATGCGACCTAGCCAAGACCCCTTCCCCATCACCCCAAAGGACATCCTAAGGACCTTGACCTCCAGACAGAGACACTTCAAGGGCTGACAGGCACCCAGCTTTCAGAATCCAGCTGTTTTCTTCAATCCCTTCACCCCACCTGGATGCTAAGGGGCAGGGCCCTCCCCCACACCTGGGCCTTATCAGGCAGAGCTGTCCTCAGCCCCAACTGGCCCTTGGCCCACTCCACCTCCCCTACAGCCAGTGGGGTAGCAGGAGCCCGTGCTGGAGGCTGGATGCAGGGGCTGGGGGTCCCTTCCAGGCAGGTTTCACTGCCAGGTCTGTGGAAGCAAGGAACTTGTGCCGGAAGGAAGAGGATGCCTGGAGTTCTTACCAGCCAGGAGAAGATGTGCCGCCTCTGGACCAGCATCTGCAAGGTTACACAGGAAGCATGATTTGGAAACAGAAAAAGGAATCAGTGAGGAAAGATTAAGTAACGGCATAGGTTAAAAGGGAAGCTGGGTGGGGCGAAGACAGCTCATAGCTACTCAGGAGGCTGAGATCTGAGGATCGCAGTTCGAATCCAACCCGGGAAAGGAAAGTCCGTGAGACTCTTCTATCCAATGAACTCCTCGGAAAAGGCCGGAAGTGGCGCAGGGCTAGCCCTCGAGCGGATAAAGCTGAGATAGCAGCGCCCAGGCCCTGAGTTCAAGTCCCAACCGACAAGAAAAGGAAGTGGAGGGAGACGAGAGGGTTAGAAAAAGGGGCTCGGGGCACCAGCAGCCGGCTCCGGGCACCAGCGGGCGCCTGCTCGGGGAAGGCTGCGGAGGGACACGCCGCAGCCGCACGCCGAGAGCAGGCGGCCCGGCCCCCGGCGGCGGGGCCCGGGAACGCCAGCCAGGGGGCGGGGTCTGGGCCGGGCCTGGATGGGAGGGAGGACAGTGAATGGAGAGGGGTCTGGGAGTCCCCGCGGAGGAGCGGCGCTCACCCCGGCGCCGCGCAAGTCCATCCTCCGCAGGCCGCTGCGGCTCCCCGCGTCCGCCCTCCGGGTCTCTCCGCTCGCCCCGCCCCGCCCGG